AGTCAGGTAGAACATTCCAGGCGTTGACCACTCTGTGGCTGAACTGTTTTGTTATTATTATATATATATACACTGGAACACCTCGAGCAATTTCAACCAAACTTGATACAGAGATGACTTACTTACCCTCTGGAGAAAAATACTGTGGGGGTAAGACACCTCTAACTCCCCTCGGGGTGTGGGTTCTGTTAAGATACAGCCTGTTGTGCCTTTCAATGGCTTCTACTGCACAGCACCGTGGAGTTGCCATGGTAACGGCTTTACAGTACTCCACAAGAGGGCTCCCTCTGATAAGGGGGAAAATCCAACATTAGAAATTATGTTTGGTCCGGACAAATATTGGGGGAGGGGGGGTAAGACACCCTTTGAGTGAGTGAGTGTGTGAGTGTGTGTGTGTGTGTGTGTGTGTGTGTGTGTGTGTGTGTGTTCCAGCATAACTCTGGAATGCCTGGTCTGTTAAGGAGAACAAGTGTGGCGTCCTAGAGCGGCAATTGTTTGTGATGTCCGTTCCTTTGCAGTTTCCTCTGTGAAGCCAGTGGTGGCGTTCGCCCTCCAGTGGACCAATGGGGAAGTGCCTGATGGATTTGGGACAAAGTGCCAGGACCGTAGACAGGGCAGGAAAGAGGAGCGCATGGGAAGTGGAAGGGAGAGGGCAGGGATGATGGGCATGGGAGTAGGGGGAAGGAAGCCCCCACTCAATGGCACCCTGTCAGACAAATGCTTTGACATCTATAAATACCCGGGCAACTCCGAGTTATCAGCTGGTATTATATAGAAAGAGAAGTTAATGAATCCTGCTGAATCAGTTACCTGTGTGTGCTTTCTGGATTTGATTGCTGCAACAAACTCTGAAACGGCACATATCACATAAGCCACCTTTAGCAAACCAACCCACTTTCCAAATATGGCTCAGATGTGATGAAGAGGACAAGATAGTCCTCGTGGTCAACCTTCACCTCCTTTGGTCTCCCATCGTGATTCAAGCTCAAGATTCTTGAGATCAATGAAGGGATCAATCTTTGGAGCGGGAACTTCTCCCAAATCTGCTCCATGCCGTCCCCCAGGAGGGCAAAAGCATTCTTGGCGACCCCCCCTTTTCCATCCAGCAGATTTTCCCAGGTCACCACCAATCCTCGCGGGAGCCTCTGTTCCCCCCAAAGAACCTTCACGCTGCTGATCAGCCAGGTCCTGTTTTCAGAAGAACCCATCGGAGGAAGCTGAGGGCTGGTGGAGTCCAGAAACTCAACACCGATGGATTTTTGCCGAGTCAGTAAGGAGAGCATCCTTTTTGTGAAGCAGAGAAGGGTCCGGCTGGCATCTCCTGGGCCGATTCCAACCAGGATCCAAGGCTCCTCCAGATGAGACTTGCCAACAGATCGCAGGATTGTTCTCCAGGTGGATTCCGGTTGGTTTGGGAAAAGGAGATGAAGAGATTGGAAATCTTCCTTGGGAAGATGAGCAGTGTTGAGACTCAAGACTTTGAGGTTCCTCAAAGAAAAGGGGACAGTCTCGTGATAAAGTAGGACCATTGAAACAGAGACAAAGACCAGGGCCAGAAAGGCTGCCATAAAGATGGAAGGGAGGCAGTCGGATTCCTGAGGCTGCCAAGATGGGCTTTCCGAACATCCAGGCTCCGCAGAATTGTCTGTCTGATCCTCATCCGTGTGCTTCCTGGCTCCACAACAAAGTTCTGGAACATTCCCGGCGTCCATGCAACTTTCATCATCCCTTCGTCTTTCCTGCATCTCTCCATCTTTCAGCACAGAGGAAGGAAAACAACAACAATACAACTTTCATGAGTTTGAAAATAAAAAGCAGGACAACATTCATGCTCAATCGAGAGGCGGGATCTCACTGCTGATTACTTCCTGCCAAACTCTTTCATAAAGCCTCTTGCTAGTTAATAAGTGAACCCAAGGTTCTGTTTTAGGCCCAGGACACTTCAACATCTTCATCAATGACTTGGACGAGGGGGTGGATGGGGAAACTCATCAAATTTGCAAATGACACCAAACTGGCAGGAATAGCCAACACTCCGGAAAGCAGGCTCAAGATACAGAAGGATCTGGACAGACTTGAACATTGGGCGCTAGCTAACAAAATGAAATTCAAGGATGAAAAAAGTCAGGTTCTACATTTAGGCAAGATGGTACCTGGCTCAATAGTAGTGACTGTGAGAGGGATCTTGGAGTCCTAGTGGACAACCATTTAAATAGGAGCCAGCCGTGTGCAGCAGCTGCCCAAAAAGCCAACACAGTTCTAGGCTGCATCAACAGAGGGATAGAATCAAGATCACGTGAAGCGTTAATACCACTTTATAAGGCCTTGGGAAGGCCACACTTGGAATACGGCATCCGGTTTTGGTCACCACGGTGTAGAAAAAATGTGGAGATTCTAGAAAGAGTGCAGAGAAGAGCAACAAAGATGATTAGGGGACAGGAGATTAAAA